TATGGACCACCGCTTGGGTGACCCCAGCAGGGCCCTCCTGTCCCCAGGCATCATTCTTCCCAGGTGCAGAATGGTGACAACTCTGACGTCAGGTGGGAGACAGATCCCAAATCAGTAAGAACCACAGTCAAGAGGATGTGGGACAAGCACTCAATCTGGAGTCAGAAAGTCAGGAACCTGAGGTCAAATCCCTGGCCTACCCATCTCTTCCTGTCCCTCCAAAGAGGTCACCAGACCTGTCACCACCACCTCCCGGGTTTAACCCTTTGTACGCCATAAGCGTCTATAGATGCAAGCGGAGGATTTTTTTTTTTCTTAATTAAATTCAAAATATTGTTGCGTGAGGGGAGGGTTTCCATTTTGGACGCATGGCAGCTAACTGGTTAAAGCATTGCCAGGTGTCCCTGCACACACATTCACCTCAGGATCCTATTAAACATGCTGATTCTGAGTCAGTCGTCCTGGGTGGAGCCAGAGATTTCCAACAAGCTCCCCAGGGGGTGCTGATGCTGCTGTTGCTGTTGATCCATGAATCCAACTATAAATGGCAACTGACTCCGAGGCCCCAATCCAGGCCAGGGCAGGCCTGGTGAGCTGGTGACTGAACAAGTACTCGGGTAGGTATGATTATCAGAGGATTTGGGGAGCCCTGGTCTTGTTCATCTGCCTCTCTCATTTAAAACTCCCACATAGCCTGTGGGTGCCCTTGCTTCCTTTCCATTGTTCTGTTCAGTGAACTTAAAATCCAGTAACCTAACGCCTGCTTCTGGATGGCCTGTAGAGCACATTTAGAGAGCTGAAGTTTCACCAAGACTTTCCCAAGTCCTGGCATGCCTGGAAAATGATCATCTCTGTAGGGCTTAAGCTCTGGCAGCTCTGAGGACTGTGCTGGGCTGGAGGCATTGCTGTCTCCGCACACCTGCAACCATAACCCAGCTCCCTGGCTTCAACCTCACTAGTCAGTGAGTAAAACCAACCAGCACAGCCCTTCCATGCAGCTCCCCACTGTTCTGAAGATGATCCAAAACATAGAAGAAAAAATAAACATATCAAACTCCTATCCTGAGGTTGTCGACAAGAGCCAAAGCAGCACAAAATGAGGAACATACATATCCATACACTCACCCTCCATGCCGTTACAGCTAAGTAACTGCCAAGTGCCCAGAAGTACACGCTATCTTCTTTGTACTAGTAGGTGTCACTTCACTGAGCCCTTGAAACAACTTCACGATGTAAAGACTATGTGACATTTTACTGATGAGGACACTGAGGCTTATAGAGGTTAGGTAACTCACCCAAAGTCACTGTAAATGGTGGCAGCTGTGGGACAGTCCCCCGTATATGATCCTTGGCAACACTCATCCCTCTTCTGGTTTGCTTTACTGCCTCCTGCCCATGGGTGTCCTCCCAGACTGTGCCTTCCATAAGGGCAGGGCTCGGGTCTGCTTTGTTCCAGGCTGCATCCACCATGCACCTCCAGACACTCAGAAAACGATTTGCCACGCTAATGCGTGCCTTCAAAGTGAGGTCTCTTCCATGATTAACAGGCTGCCTCCAAAACCACAAGCATACAGATGAACCCTGGTGTATGACCCCCAGCTGATAAAGTATGAATTTACAAGGCATAAGTTGGAGAAGGTGAAAGGGCGCTGGCCTGGGAGCCAGAGGCCTGAGGATTCTTCTCCCACTTGTGGCCATGCTGCCCTCACATCTGGACATGCCACTTGATCTCACTGCATCTCAGTTTCTCCACAACATGATGGTTTAATTCATCCCCAAACCTTTGTGGACTCCCACCATCCACCAGATGTGGTGCTAAAAAGTAAGTGAGCCAGAGGAATGAATGAGAGGCCAATTCCAGCCCTCAGCAGCCCTGTGCCAATTCCACTCCTCCCAGCCCACTAAGCAAAAACAGAAATAAAGCACAAAGAACAGTGTTCAAACAAGTCTGGAACAAATGATCCTCGAGAGATAATTTGCATCACAAAAGCAATCTTCACTTAGCAAATGAATTCACAAAAAGAATGGATAAAGTGACATATTCCCCTGATATTTTCTGTCAGTTATTGAAGTATTATGTACAGTAAATTTCATTCTGTTAAGTGTATAGTTCTACCAATTTAGACAAACACATGCAGTTCCTGCTACAGTGTTAAACATTATTTATTTATTTCTAACTTTTCAAGAATCTATGTATATAAAAGGCTAAGCGACCAGCTGACCAGCCGACCAGGATGTGCACTGACCACCAGGGGACAGACCCTCAAGGCAGGAGCTGCTGAGCAACAGCAACTTTGCAGAGTGCCCTCTCGCACTCCAGGACCCCTCAGGGGATGTTGGACTGCTGGTTTTAGCCAGATCCCCGCAGGCCAGGCCAAGGGACCCCACTCACTCCACAGACACGCTTCAAGCCCCAGCGCCACCCCAGGTGCAGCTGTCTGGGGAGGGACCGTGGGAGGTTGGCTCCAGGGCATGTTGACCCCTCTCACCCCCGTCCCACCCGGTGGCCACCTTCTAATTCATTTTCTTCCAATGTGCATGAATCCATGCACCAGCCCCTAGTATGTTCTATAAAGTGATGTGGGCATGGACGGTCCAATGACGCAAAATTAATTTTAGCTCCTCTCTCTATAAGTGAAGATCCCATTCTGCCAGAAGGAAGAACACAGAACTGAAAATGTTGTCTTCGGGAAGAAAACAAAAAATCAATTTGCAGAAACATCTACAAGGCATGGAGCACAGAGTATACTGGTACAATCTACTTGTTGGCCAGTGCAATTAACTCTCCTTTACTAATAGGATGAGTCTTTCAGCCCAGACTACCCCCTCTCATGTGAAAGCATTTACCAATTTTTTAAAATATGCACACAGAGCCCAAAAACAAACACATTTCTACCAAAAGCCATCCTTAACCACTGGTGCAGTTTAAAACCTCAAAGCCTCCTTGAATGAATTCCAAAAATCTCTAATAAATGTCACATACCAACGGGATTTACCTGGACAAGGAACATAACTTTCATTTTGGCTTGTTTTAAGATGTATCTTTAAATGAGCTGCATGAGCTTATGTAAAAAAGGGAGGCGGTAATTATTCCAATAGAACTCTCCCAATCCATTACAATTACCTCTCCACTGCTGAGTGGGGTCCTGGTAACTTCAGACTAGAAAGCCGCGTTACAAACCAAAGGGAACGAATGCAGCTGTAAACAATCTAACAGTGTTTTTAACCTTGACTATATGACTGATAAAATGCAGAACTGATTTCCAAGCCCTAGCTCAGTGTCACTCAAACTTCAGTATATGTGTAAGAATCTTCTGATTATAAAAACTACACACTCTTGGGCCCCACACAGACCTGCCAAATTAGAATCTCTGGGAATTAGGCAGCTACAGGGTTTAACCTTAATCCCAGGTAATTCCGATGTGGTGACCTAAGAAAGGCAGCCTTCGCTAAGAGATCGTGTGCTTTGTTTTATAATCATGAAAACAAAGTTGACATGGTGGTAATGTGGTCACTGATCCTGAGTGTGGGCTACAATCTACAGGCTAACGGCCCAGGCTTAAAATGTTTTCATTATTCAGAGAGTTTGCCATTGCAATATCAACAAATGAACTACACAGCGATAATCTTTCCTTAATGTTCGATTGCCTGCTCTCGAGTGTGGTCACCAGACCAGCAGCTCAGGATTTTTGAGTCCCATCTTAGAAAGAAAATCTCTGAGAATGGGGCCTGGAATCCCCGTTTTAAACATTTCTCCAGATAATTCTTCTGCACTGTGCATGCGCCAGCGTGTTTTAATGTGAGTACATTCTAAACTGACAAATACTTAATTATCACCATTTTTTCTTGTCTTCTTGCTGCTTTTATTTATCACCATTTTTTCTTGTCTTCTTGCTGCTTTTATTTTTGCATTGATAAAGCATGCAGTGTTTATTACCACGCCACCTCAACTCACCTCCCACCACCTTCCCACTGTGGTGCAAGTGGCACAGAAAGTTCAAGCCAGATTTATTTTCCATTAGTCAAGGGACAGATAGCACAGCCAGGGCAGCCAAAGGGCTCAGACCCTGCCCATCAGTACAGCAGCAAGGATACAGCATCAGAAGGGCCCCCTGATGGATTCCAGCTAGCACCTTCCCATGATGCCTCCAGGGACCTCGCATGAAAGCCAGCAGACAAAAAAATCAAATGGGAACTTGGTGGTGGTGATGGGTTTCTTTGACCCCTCCAACTCCCTAACTATGGGTCCATGCTAGAGTGCATTAGTTCTCACATTTGGGAGAACATAAAAATCCCCAGGGGAAACAAAAACACAAATTCCTTGGTTACAACCTCATCTTCTGATTCAGTAGGACTCCGGAGAGCCTCCCAAATTTGCATGTATAAGTTTCCCAGGGGATTCTTATGCATATCAAGGTTTGAGGATCACTGGTGTTTAGGGAGAAACCTATGACATGGAACAGAAAATCTGAGCTTGAGCCAAACATACCCAGTATTTAGTGTGTAAACCTTGGTATGTATCAACTTCCTCAAAGTAGAAATAATAATAACCGCCTCACAGGATTATTATAATAGCAATATATATGCAATGCCTTAGTAAAATGCAAAATGCCAAGTATCACTCAATAACACTGTCAGGTGTGGAATTCCTCAACCATTGCTAACTATGCTCCTCTTAGCCTAAAAAGGTAACTTCACACCCGGCCAGCATGGCTCAGTAGAGCATCAACCTATGAATCAGGCAGTCACAGTCCAATTCCTAGTCAGGGCACAGGCCTGGGTTTTGGGTTCAATCCCAAGTGGGGGTCATGCAGGAGGTAACCAATCGATGATTCTCTCTCATCATTGATATTTCTCTCTCCCTTTCCTTTCCTCTCTGAAATCAATAAAAATATATTTTTAAAGGTAACTTCACTAACAAGCATTCCATATCAGATTCAGATTCTGAGACACAAACCAGTTCAACAATCTGTGTTATTCGTTGAATTGTGTCCCCTCAGAAATGATACGCTGCTGGAGTCCCATCTCCCCAGAACCCCAGAATGTGACCATATTCGAAAACAGGGTCCTTACAGAGGTAATCAAGTTCAAATGAGAATGTTAAGGTGGGCCCTAATTCATTACGGCTGCTGTCCTTACAAAAGGGGAAATGTGGACACAGGAACAGACAGGCACAGGGAGGAGACAGCCAGCGACACACCAAGCAGAGAGGCCCGACTCAGACGCTTCCCTTGCTGCCTCCGAAGGAACCAGCTCTGCTGAAACCTTGATCTCAGGCTTCCAGCCTCCAGAACTGAGACAACACATTCCTGTTGTGTAGGCCATCCCTCTGTGAAACTGTGTGACAACAGTCCTAGCAAACTCAAGCAATCTGTCCGTTTCCAGCTAAAGAGCAAAGCGTTCTTCTCTTGTTTCTTTTGTGAGGGAGGCTGGGCCACCTGATGCTTCTCGGATTCCACGGGGCTTCTTCTAATATCTTCGCCAGGCACGTCCACAGGCTCCAGGTAAACTACTGTCGGGCCCATCAGAGAGACAGGGTAGGCTGTGCAGTCTTGAGACTGGATCAAACTGTTGCAAAATCAGAGATCCAAAACTTCTGCAGTTCACCAGTGACTGATTTGCCATCCCTATTAAACTGTCCGAGCGACCCCTGAACAGCCAGCTCTCCCTCTTCCTTCTGTCAGAACAGCACTCACAGTTCCCTCCTGGCTTCCAGCCGGCCTGAGAGCTGGGGAGCCACTATCAGCACTCAGACAACTGGGGAGCCTCAGCCAGCAGACCTATCAAAACCCCCAAGGAGCCCTAACTGGTTTGGTTTGGTGGCTGAAGCGTCGGCCTGCAGACTGAAAGGTCCCAGGTTCGATTCCAGTCAAGGGCATATACCTTGGTTGCAGGCACATCCCCAGTAGGGAGTGTGCAGGAGGCACCTGAATGATGTTTCTCTCTCATCAATGTTTCTCTCTATCCTTCTCCCTTCCTCTCTGTAAAAAAAACAATTATATATATATTTATATTTATATATATATATATATATATATATATATATATATATATATATATTAAACCTCGAGGAGATAGTTTTCTTAAATGGAATGCAGCGCAGCTTTCATTCTCGCTGAGGTGGGACAAAACATGCAAGGAAAATAACAGAAAGGGGGGTGGGGGAGGAAGCCCTTTAATATGCATTAAAGCCAGACCTCTACCTGGTCTCATTCAGGAACCAGAGGGGGTGTGAGGGAGGGGCAGGCTGACCCTGTTGAGATGGCTGTCTTGCATCAGAAAGGAGCCATGTCTGTGCACTGTGCAAAGCCAGCAGGCATGTCCCCTGCAGGGTGACCATCTTCCGTGTCCTGGCTACCTTTACCCACTAAGACTCTTCCTGGGCAACCTGTCCCAGGAGACCCCCTAGGGAGCTTAAAAAAAATCAGGAGTCCAGCTCCCACATCCAGAGATTCCAATTCAGCAAGTTAGAAGGGAGGGGTTTAGGTTACAGCACTTTGTTTTTAAATTGTTTATTGTTCTTAATCCTCACTTCAGGGTATTTTCTAATGGATTTTTAGAGAGAGTGGAGAGGGAGAGACAGAGAAACATCGATGTGAGAAAAACATATCAAATGGTTGCCTCCTGCTCCCACCACAACCAGAGCTTGGGATCTAGCCTGCAATCGAGGTATGTACCCTTGACCAGAATTGAACCCAGGACTCTTCAGTCTATGAGCCGATGCTCTATCCACTGAGCCAAACAGGCCAGGGCTAGGAAGCAGCATTTTTTAAGGAGCTTCCCTGGTAATTCTGATGCACATCCAAGTCCAAGTACCATGCAGCTCTGGCCAGAAATTAAAGTCAGGGCCCAACTGGACATCCCAAGAAAAGGAGAGAGTGCCCAGTGAGGGGTCAGGAATGTGAGATTCCAGTGCCAGGTTTGCCAAGTAGCCCCAGTAAGTCTCATCCTCTGGGCCACAGCTCTTTCCCTGTCAAAGGGAAAGGCTGACCTAGAACAATTCAGGCATCCCATTTTTAAAAATAAATTTCCTCAAACCATTCTAAAATGCCCCACAAAGACATCCACCCTTTCTTCTTCTTGGCCTTGCTGAACCCAGCGGCTCTGAGGCTGCACCTCCTGCTGACCTCACTGACATCTTCCCCACAGGGGGTGGGGGGGGGCCCTCCGTGAACCCCGTGGGGGAGGGCCCAGGAACGACAGGCGCTAAGCCCAATAAAGAGCTCTTCAAGGAGAAAATCAAGCCTCTTACAGCACCCTTGATGCAAACTCTCAAACCCAGGAATAATCCACACTCCCCTTGAAGATTTACCAAGCGTGACCTGGGGCCACACTCAGGAAATACCTTCATATGCATCAGACTGGGTCCTAGCATGATGTAATTAAGTGGGCTGTCTTGAAACAATATAAACGAAGAAGAGAGGAGTTTTAATGTGAGCACACGAAAGCTTTGGAGCTGTCTAGCCTGGCTGCTTGAGAGCAATGCCGAGGGAGCCCTGGGTCAGCCCCGCGGACGGGCAGGCACGCACGCTGCTGTGTGGGGGGAAGGAGGCAGCGCTCTGTGCCGTCCAGTGGATTCTGGGGACAAGTGATGCGCCAAAACAATTCACCAGAACAGAGGTCGGCAAACTGCGGCTCACGAGCCACATGCGGCTCTTTGGCCCCTTGAGTTTTTAGCCAAGGCCAGCTTAGGAGAACCCTAATGAAGTCAATAACAATGGACCTACCTGTATAATTTAAGTTGAAAAAATCTGGCTCTCAAAAGAAATTTCAATCGTTGTACTGTCGATATTTGGCTCTGCTGACTAACGAGTTTGCCGACCACTGCACCAGAACATCAAGGTCAGTGCTAAACCCTTCAGACAAGCTAATGTACCATCTTCAACCCAGTGACAAAAGTCACCATGCTGACTGCTTAAGTGCCCTCTTCAGAGATAAAAACAGAGAGGCAACCATTTGTCTCCATCCAGCTGTCCTCTGCAGGTGCCTCCCATCACTCAACAAGTATTTAGCAAGGATGTGCTTCATGCATTCAACACTTAAACCCCTAACTCCTGACCTGTGACCTTGAGACACTGCATTTCCACCTCAACGTAATTCTCTCTTCCTTTGCTTGAATCTGGGGTTTACTTTTCCTCATCCAATGCTAACCTCTGTCACCAGCAAGTTTTCTTCATCAATTACTCATTTATTTATTTTTTTGTTGCGCACCTGCTCTGTGCCGGGCTTGTTCTAGACACCGGGGACACGGTGCCAGAGATGGTTTCTCTCATGGAGCTTATGGCTAGTGCATGAGACACACAATGAATGAGTCATGGATGTAATATCAGGGAATGATAAATGATATGAAAACAAAACAGGAAGAGGCTGAGAGCGGGGGCTGGGGGATGCCAGGGAGACCTCTGAGGCGGTGGCATGGAGGCTGACACCTGAACAAAGTGACGTGTGAGAGAGCGCCTCCAGCCTTCACACGCTCAGCGGGGGAGCTGGAGCGGCCAGGACACAGGACGAGAGCCCACTAAGGACAGTGGCGTGGGACCCAGGTGAAGAAAGTGTCCCCCAGAGAGAGCGATCAGCTGGCTAACTGGGGCTGAGAGGCTGCAGAAGATGGCAGCTAAATGGGCCGCCTGATGAAGGGATGGAGCAAAAACTGAGCTGGGGTGGGTTCCAGCCAGAATGAGAGGGGAGTCAACAGAACAGAGAGCAGGATAATCCTTCCAGAAGTAGGTGCCAGAAGGGAGAGTCCAAGAATGGGAGGGTAGCCAATGGGGACATCGGGTCAAGAGGTGGTGGTGTTGCTGCTTTTTCCTTGATGAGCAACCACAGGCATGTTCCTCACAGGGATTGTACAGCAGAGGGGGAAACTGCGGATACATGCATGAGTGAGAGGCCTGCCTGCCAACGGAGAACAGGGCCCACCGTACATATGGTTACCATGCACGCGTGCGGATGGTACAGGTAGGCTTCCAGATTCCACGTGGGCAGGTGATGAAACTAGTTTCTAATTGCTTCCTTTTCTCAGTGAAAGAAACCAGGTCATCAGCGTGGGTGGGGACAGAATCATAGTGGACCCAGCTGTGCCAAGAGTTCCCTGGAGGTGTGGTCATGAATCAAGTGCAAGACGATACAGACAGCCACATGTTTTCTCCAGCCAATGTGCTCAGCCTGGGGCAGGAACAAGGTGGGCAGAGGGTGAGGTTTTCTCAAGGAAGATGAAGGCAGAAAGGGTCGAGGGAGTTGACAGTGTATGTGAGTCCCTCAGCTGGGGCAGGGGATGGCGGGGTGGTGGTGGTGGTGGTGGTGGTGAGGACAGGAGAAGGATGATGCACAACGAAAGTGGAAGGGTAACCAGGTCAAGGCCTTCCCTGGTCGGGTGAAGACCAGGTGGAACTGGGTGCTGAAGGGAATTCAGTGAAAGAGAAAGGGTGAGGGTCAGCGTGGAATGCTTGTCAAATATTGGTGGAGGTACAGTTATTGGTTTACAACCAGCATGTTTTTCAAATGAGCTGCAAGATTAGTGGGTGGTAAAATCAATTTTGTGGGTCATGATAGATAGATAGATAGATAGATAGATTTATGAATCAGAATGAAAAGTATAAGTACATCATACCTACTAAGGGTAAATATTGTTTTGGGAAACCTACTTTAGTTGTATATGTGTGTTTGTATTAGGTCATCACATAAGATGTATTTCTCCTGTAAGTTGGGGTTACCTAAAAAGTCAAGGACACTGAGGCAAAGTTTCTCAACTTGGCATTGCCAGTGTTTTAGGCCACACAATTGTGGGTGCTGACCTGTGCGTGGCCGGGTGTGTACCAGAATCCCTGGCCTCCGCTCACCCAATGCCAGCAGCACCCCTTCCTCTCCTCAAGTTGTAACAGACAGAAATATTCCTAGACATTGCCAAATACACTCCGGGTGGCAAAAATGCTGAGAACCAGGTGTCTACAGAGAATGATGAGAGGAACAGTTGAAATAGGGGAGAGGAAAAGATAACTGAAAGAGAGTTGGTCAAGGGACTGAGCTGGGTGGACAAGCTACATCGATATTCAAGTCACCAAAGATGTTGATGGGAGG